TCATTTTAAGGAGTGTACTCATTGGATCCTCCCCCTATATATATATATATATATGTTTTGGACACGCTGTTTATTCCGCTAAAACTTTCAGTACTTAAACTCAGTTTTTGATTCGACTTTAGTCAGTTAATATATTATAACCGTTTTTATTATAAGTTTTAAAATTAACGGTTTTCAGTCAGATTTTTCACGGTAGCACTCCGAATCAGTTTTGCAAAATAAATATTTTATTGATTTATTCAGAAAATTTGCGAAAAACGCGTACTCTGATTTCAGTAAAAAGTCGGGGTGTTACAGTTATTGTTATATTGGTAATGATAACAAATATGATGTAACCATTACAATATAATATTTAATACCTATTCTTTTAATTGTAAATTCATTTAAAACTCGGGATCTCAAATTACACATAAACAATTATTAGATGAAACCAAACCGCCAACACGTGCCTCCTATATATATATATATATATATATATATATAATTGTAGAATATCCAACTAATGCGGATAATCTATTTTTCCCGCTCATTTTGTAAAGTTTTTTTAGTATGTTTCACCTATCATTTTATTTGTATTTTTGTAACTAATATTATAATATTTAATAAAATTGTAACTGTCATGTCATAAGAATTAATATAATTGCACTCTTTGTTAATTAGGTAAGTAAAATTATACTTTTTATGTACACATTACAATATTGTAACTATATATATTCTTTCTTCTGATTTACATTTATTTTAACATTTAAATTTTAAATTATTCATGCTTATTTTAATCATTTTAACTAGGAACATATTTTAAGTCAATTATTTGAAGCGAAGTAATATATAGTTTTTTAATTTTTCTTGGGAAATAAATTTATAAAAATAAATCATAACCATATCAATTTATTTTGTCTTTTCATTTGTAGAGATCTATTATTAATATCAACTTATGTAGTGTATAAGATTTACGTTGTCCATTTTAAATTTATTATTTTTTGCTTTTGTAATACTTTTATGTTTATTATTATAATATAATATTCAAATTATATAAAAATTGGGTTACTCATTATATCATATAATAAGTTATTAATATATGGTAAATTGTACATTTATATTGTTTTTTTTCTCGAAGTATATAACTCCAACGAAGAGTCTTTAATGTAATTTGATTATAAATGTCATACATACTATTAAGTAAAATATTTATTTATATTTAGTAGCATGTGCATGTGCATAGGATTTATATTAGTTAGGATTAAATTAAAACCCGCAAGAGCTCTAATTAAGGTAGTAAAGTAAATAGTACCATTATTCTTAATCATACATCCATCTGTGGTTTTGAGCACAAAAACTTTGATCAAGTTAGACATAAATAGAAAGCAACTACCAATGTAGCCGAGAACTGGCTGCCTGCATAAGTGGGTGCGCAAAGTATGTGCCTAGCGTCAATGCCGTAATTGATAAATATGGCAAACGCAAAAACTCTTTATGGTAACTCTTTGGAAGCTTCTGGCGGCCATCAAGAATAGCAGCAAATGGGACCACACTTGTTCTCCTCTTTACAACTTCAAATGCCTCGCCATATCTAATGCCTAACCTTCGGTCTCCATTCCATACGCCAAATAGATGGTGTCCGATCAAACCCAAAGAAGCTGCTACGGCCACTGAGTTCCCAATCCAAACTGTGTGAGCCAAGCACCAAATCACTTGTCCCACCATCTGCCCAACAGAATACGAACATGAGTAAAGAAAACTAGTAATTATACCAGCGTGCGTATGGTGTTTTCACATTCTATGGCCATATGGTGATGATTTTAATCAAACACGACAAAAATATAGAAATGAGAGTGGTCAATCCACATAGTTTTCATGAGACTCTTGCAGAATCCTAAGAAATCAAAATATGCATTTATATAACTAACAAGAATAATTTTAATACATCAATGAATGATGGCGACAGTTCAAGACAATGATGACCTCACTGGTACCAAATACTGGGCATAAGCTCTATCTTCCTCTTTGTACAATCATACTTAAATACTGTTACATGTTGAGGAGACGCTAATATTGGTTTATATGCTAAAAGTTCGCCTTTGATTACAAACGTGTTCCCAGAATTTTTTAATAAGAAATCATGTTTAGTCAAAAATGCTTATTCTGTTATTTCACATTGAGATAATTGATGTGTCGGAACATATTATCCGTTCCTTGTAAAATATAAGCATGGTTCACAACCTAGATAGAATTGAAAAAACTATCGTTGCAATGTAAAATTGAATTACTTTATTGTTTCGTGGCTAATGAATTACACTAGTACATCAATGCGTGGAATCACCATAGTTTGTCAACAAGAAATCTTTACAGAGTGTGTCATTGGTTATTCGAAATGGTAGGGCTCATAATCTTTTAACATCATATCATCGAAAACACCTTTTTTCTCTTATGTATATAAATATATATATATATAATATATATATATATAAATTTAATACCTGTGGGTGCCTGGTAATTCTCATTATTCCAGTTTCCCAGAGATGCATTTTGGGCTTGTCAACTGCTGCAACCTCTAACAAATTGAAAGTCGATGGATAAAGGAAAAGGAAGGAAATAAAGTTGGCAAACCAGATAAATTCATGCAATCCAGGGACACCCTGAAGTTGCCACAGCTGCACACCATCGTATCTGTGGTTGATGAAGTAAACCTGGCATCAGACAGAATGGCTTTTCATTTAAAACAAATAACCCACACAAAGGAAAAAAGGAAGTATAAGTGATCAGGAACTCACAACAGTACTAACAGCTAATGGAAGAGATACCCCAGCAAATAATACACGGAAAGCTCTTTCGCCAATGACTTTCTCACCTGTGTCCCTAAGACTAGCTAAGCCACTATGGACCACAGCAAAAATCAGGGTAAGAAGTAACATGACAACCTGCACATATAAACGACGTCAATAACAATCAATATGCAATTACATGCTAAAAACATGAAAAAAAAAAAAAAAGAAAAAAAGTGGCAAACCGCATCTCGTAGCCATAAGGCAGAAAGAAACAAAGACAAATAAATAGGTAAACACCGAGTATAAGGACAGGAAGTATTCTATGATCGAGCTACTTAGCATGAATTTATTTACTTCATTTTGTGCCACACCAATTTCCATGTCACAGTAATAGAATAATCACAAGCAAGAGAGAGAGAGAGAGAGAGAGAGAGAGAGAGAGAGAGAGAGAGAGAGAGAGAGAGAGAGACTCCATCATAGATTCATCCATGAATAGATGATGCGTGTTGCATTGAAATGAACACGGTGAGATATGGAATGAAAAGGGCACTTTTCATGAACTTGTAAGTTATAACATGATACTACGGTTCAACCAACAAAAAGTAAATAATATTCTAAATAAATGTAGAAATCATTAAATGATTAGAAGTAATAGATTCGCAAAATAAACAAATCATACTGCAACCTAAAAAAATGTTCTTGGCTTGAAATGCCATTAACAGGAACACTAGTGCTCAGGTAGGATCCAATCAAACCAAAAGGCGAGGAGACATTTACTAAAGTAACTTCTTCATTTTCTTTTATATACAGGACCTAATGATAATTGTTTATCTTTAAAAGGATTATCGTTTTAGTTACAATCAAATCGAACATAAAACTTGAATAGTCCAAAGCACCACATGGAGAAACTCCTGGAAACGTCTTACTGATGGGCACATCAGAACAAGTTAATATGTTAGCATACACTATTAGATTTCCAGTTCATAGATTTAAGGTTTGAGTTGGTCCAACAGAAGAAGAAAGTTTTGAAGCATCTAAGATGATGCAGATTAAAACATGTAGGATATAAATATTCTCTTCGGTTTTTCCATTCAAACACAATTAAGTTTGATATTCTTTGATGATACTATCACCAGTTGATTATTTAAGAACCATCTTCCCAAACACGGAAACCTCACACAAAGTACAAGTGAGCAATTCAGTTAAGACATACTTCATATATAATCGGCTTTGCAGTCTGCTCATGTGTTAGCCCACTTCATGTACATATAGTCAGATACAGTCAGGATCAAGAAATATACACACGATGTCAGTGGCAGTAGTAACAATAAAAAATAAAAGAACAATCAACAAAAGAAGGATCTAATGAAAGATTAGTACCCCAAAAAAGGGAAAAGAAAAACAGGAGACGAATCAAAACAGCATGTGGGTTATGAGCAGACCTCCGGACTGCCGGAAAAGGCGGAGAGTGCATCGATGAAGTCTTTACCAAAGCCACTAGAGTTATCGATCCAGGCGACGTCGAGTACATAAAGCACAACCCCCAAAATCACAGAGAAATAAATCCAGGAGGATATCTTCTGTTGGGACAGGACGAATTGGGCAGAATCCTCCCCAACTAGCGGCGGCGGGTCCTCAGCTGCTTGGGGTTCTGTTTCTGCAACTTTTGGGGCCGATAAGAATTTGAGCAATTTTGGAGGGCCATTCTGCAAGCGGACTTCGACCGACCCGCGCCGGTTAACGGCGGTTTTGAGGCGGAAAGGAGGAAGTTTGGAGAGAGTGCGAGGAGGAAACTCGGATTTGAGAAGATGGAGGTGTGGGGAAAGAGGGTTGGAGAGTAAAATGGAGGTTGTCATCTCAGATTCTCAAAGTCAACTCAAAAATGGGCGTTTGCTTCCTACTCTGTGTTTTGGGATATCCGAGAAGATGAAGCCAAGGTGTGTGTGTGTGTGTGTGTGTGTGTGTGTGTTGGGGAGTAAAATATACAACACTCCCACGCTCAATTATTTTGTTGTTGTTTAAAAATAGAAACACATCCATCATCATCCTTTAGTTGAACGTAGTCCCATATTTTATTTCCGCGCCTTTCACATAATCTACGCGTTCATTGACCAGACCAGGTTATGAGATGGATTTTTTTGAGTTTTTTTTTTTCTTTCCTTTTTCAAGATTGGTAAATTCATTAAATAAATACATAATTACAAACGATTAATTAGACGTCCGAAACAGCTAAAAAAGTTGATTACAAAGAGACCTACATGCAAGGGTGGATCTAGAAAAAAACTTTTAGGGGGACTAGAGTTGTTAATCGAAAAACACTGTCTGCAAACACAACTCGATCAGAGTAACGAAAACTCGAGCTTAACCTTTTCTTTTACTTAAATGAACTAATCTTAGACACTAAATCGAAGTTGTGTATTAACTAGTTGTGTCTTACTTGTTTATTAAATGAGTTAAGCGGGGCTAACTCATTTTTCAATCAAACACGGGCTTGAACGTGATATAATTTAGTTTGATTCAAATTGAATAACACCTTTAAAGATGACATATAATTTTTATAACACACACACACACACATGCATACAATTTCATTTTATATTAAATAGATAAAGTAAATAATAAAAATGTACAAAAGATATAACTTATGGAGTTTGATATTATAAAATTGTGTTTGATATTATTTCATATCACGAGACTCATTAACAATTGATCCATTATTAATAGTTGTTGCAATTACTTTTCGATCCGGTAAAAAGCATATCTTACATGCTCTGCTATTTCAATTTTTGATTTTAAGATGTCACTTATCTCATACATTTAATTTTATTAAATCCTTTATTAAAAAAAATAAATATTATAGATGGAGAGTGAAAATTTACTAACAAAAATGTAATGTACTTAAAAATGATTAACAGAAAGAGTTGTACAATAATTAGTAATAATTATGGAATGTAGGTATTAATTGAACATGCTTATAATATATATTTATATAGTAAAGAATACAAATTAGTAATATACTTACAATATGCATATATATACATATTAAATAATCAAAAGTTTGGGGGGACAATAGCCCCCCCCTAACCACAATGTGCATCCGCCCCTGCTTACATGGCGAGAATGCCTTCCCACAGTTTACGAGCCAAAGTCATCTCCAAAAGTGCGGATCCAGACCTATAAGAGCAAGCTTAAACCTCGATGGCTTAGCTCACTAGCTAGTTTGGAATATCTTTAGAAGCGAAGTTCAGTAGCAGACAAAAGAGGTAATTGAGAAAGGTGACTTTCAAGCTAGGCCATCATCCACAGCAAGATCTTCCTTTAGTTTAGAAAGTAGATCGAAATGGCAAAGAGAGCCACCCGGTCATCAATGGATAAAACGACCACTCTTTCAATTGGCGTAGAGCCATCAGACATGTCTTGTTAGGATATACTTTAAAAGAACGGCTTTCGGTTTCTTACAATACCATTTTGAGTGAGAATTGTGTTTTAGTCAAGTATGCGTGTTTGTAGTTTATTTATTTATTTATGCGAGCATGAGTTCCATTATTTTAAACTGTAGATAGTATCGTTCAATGTGTCGAACAAAAAGATCATATTATCAGTTACTTGTAAATTACAAATAAATGATTCACAGCCTAGACACAATTGAACTATTTGTTGTGAAAGGTTTTAGTATAATCTTGATTCAGTTGATCTTTGATCGATAAGCTACGCTAGTACACTTTGGGTGTATTAAATAGAACAATGGAGGATAAAATTATTTTATATTAACCAAGTAAATAATCTAGACCTTAGTAATTGATGCGTCCTCTTAACCTGTAAGACGATAAACGAGCATATGCACTCAATACATATTTGTTTGATTTACCAAGTGTGGTTCCTATTTTATTAGCATGACATACTCGGTATTTTGGTAAATAATATTTTTCACATGATGTGCAGTCGAAATTATTTTCGGTCACTATGTCCCAGTCCGCTTGGGTCTGATGACCACGCGACAATAAGCTCAGAAAAGACTATTATGTTAGCTCTGCAGACGGATTAATTTTCTAACATAATAACTAAGGATTGATTGGTACTAATTTGGATAAAAAATTAATTAATTTTAATTATCAGTATTTAAATTAATTGTTGGACGTTATATCTTAAACATAGGGTTGCCTGAGTCTGTCTGTGCTTTTTGGTCTTGTTTTTTAGGTTTGGGCCGTTGGCCCCGGTACTGGTTCTGATTCCCCTGTGGGGGGCGTTTCTATTCTCCTGTGGGGAGCGATCTTAGTTGGTGTTTTTGTGTCTGTTAGTTGTGTGTCTGTTTTTCTATTCTAGCGTTGCTAGCGAGGTTCTAGGCGGACTTTTGTTCCGTTCTCCCAGTTCCTAGTTCCGGGTTGTAATATTCAGCCTTGGACTGCTTTTGCACAGTTGTGCGTTTTTTATTTATAATATCTCTATCGTTTTGGCAAAAAAAAAAAAAAATATATCTTAAACATAGGGAGATAAATCGATCAATTAAATTAATTAATATAATTTTTTTTATCGTTAAATAAATTTATATTGATCAAAACGTAAAGTCATACAACCAAAATGGCTTTCAAGAGCGTAGCGGGTAGCCACAAGTCGGCTTCTCACTCGCAAGAGAAAAAATAACGAGGACAACCACAATCCGATTGCTCACTCGCGTAACAAAATCGTCCAAGTGAACCACACTTCACAACAACCAACTCAAAGATTACTGAGACACCTCCTCTCGAATTCGGCCAAAACACTCGGGTAAATAGCAAAGATAGATCGATAGACATGAGTCTTTACCTTTCTAATCACGAGGCTTGGAGGTTGACTTTCATTCTCAAAGATCAACCGGTTCCTCGCATTCCAAATAAAGTACACGGTTGCCGCAAGCGCCGCTTTCTTCAATTTGGCTCTCCAAGACGTGCATTTTCCTTCTTTTTTGGTCCATTTAAGGGTGCCCTTGAGTGTGATTGGCCTATGTCGGAGGCTCACCCAAGTTCGAATTTCACTCCATATTTCCGAGCTAAAGGGGCATTCGAAGAAGAGGTGCTTCGAGGATTCATTTTCGATTCCACAAAGGGGGCAAGTCGGGTCTTCATTGAGGAACTCAAGGCGATCTCTCGTTTGGAGTCTATTCATCACTCCAAGCCATAAGATGAAGGAGTGCTTGGGGGTGTTGCAACTCCCCCAAACAACCTTGGTCCATGGCTTCTCGGTACCTTTAGGACGGAGGAAATCATAGCACTTGCTAGTACCATCTTGTTTATCACGAGAGCTCCAAGTATGGAGAAGGCCTTCCGCACCACGAACACTACCCGCTTTCTCTAACAAGCCTTTTCGGACTTCAAAGAGAGATTTAAAGAGAGGGGAGTCATTCTTGGATACTTGCCAATCCCAAATTGTTTTCTCCTTTAAGTAGATGTTATGAATCCATTTGTACCATAGAGAGTCCTTCTTGGCTTTCATATTCGAAAGAGTCCTCATGAGGAGGGCTCGGTTCCAAGCATCCAAGTTCTGAAGCCCCAACCCTCCTTCCGATCGGGGCGTACACAAAGTATCCCAAGCAACGGGGGCATTTTTGGAACCCCATAAGTACCTCCTACAAAGTTGGATGATTTTGGTGCGAACAATTCCCGGCAAGTTTAAGATGCCCATCCAAAAGCAAGCAATGCCTTGAATGACCGATCTTATTTAATTCCAATCTACCGGCATAAGAGAGGGTATGGCTCCTCCACCCACTAAGTTGGCTATCAATTTGATTAATCATTTCGTCAAATAGCCTCCCAGTGATTCGCTCCGCGGTAAGGGGAACTCCAAGGTACCGGAATGGCATAGGCCCGCTCTTCAAATTAGTGTCATCAAGGATTGACTCCCGGTCTTGCTCTTTAACACCAGCCAAGTAGATATTGGACTTAAGCACATTCATTTAGAGCCCCGATTTTGCCCCAAAGTCTCTTAAGCAATCCACGAGCACTTGGATTGACCCCGAGTCCCCCCGGGAGAGGAGCATGAGGTCATCGGTGAAGACTAAGTTGGATATTTTTAGCTTCTCACACATAGGATGGAATTTAAATTTTGGGTCATCCGTCGTGTTGCATTTAATGAGTCTAGAGAGGTATTCCATGCAAAGAACGAAAAGGAAAGGAGAGAGCGGGTCACCTTGCCTTAGTCCGCGAGCACCTTTGAAAAAGCCTTTAAGGCTTCCGTTGATGGATAGGGAGTATGTGGGTGTGGTGACGCACTCCATGATCCACTTGGAGAAAGCTAGTTAGAAGCCTAAGCCCTTAAGCATTTGACTCAAGAAGGCCCACGAGACGGAGTCGAATGCTTTGCATAGGTCGATCTTGATTAAGCATCTCGGGGATACTCTTTTCCTCAAATATTGCCGTAGTAATTGTTGCATGAGGTGGATAATGTCCGTCATATTCCTTCCCTTCACAAATGCAGCTTGAGCTTCGTCAACAATAGTATCAAGAACTTCGCTAATTCTTCGAGCAAGGATTTTAGAACATATCTTGTAGACGGTGTTGCAACACGCGATAGGCTGGAAGTCTGTTATCGGGATGAGTGGGAGGACTACAGGACTAGTGTGATGCCGATATGATTCTATTGTTTTAGGATGGATCCGGAGCGAAAGAATTCTTGAATCGCCGCCACAACATCTTTGTCAACAACCTCCCAACTCTTTAAGAAAAATGTAGAAGTGTATCCATCCGGGCCCAGGGACTTACCTCCCTCAATACCTCTAAGGGTGGACTTGATCTCCTCTTCGGTCACCGGGGCAAATAGAGTGCTACATTGCTCGGGTCTAAGGATCGGCCTCGAACTTAGGATTTGCGGATCAACATCCTCC